CCCGCCGAGCCGGGCCCAAAGCGCGGCCCCGAACCCGGCCCCGAACCGGGCCCCGAGCCCGCCCCGCGCCCCCCGCCCGGCCCCAGCCCCGCTCCCGATGCCGGCCCGCGCCGCGCCGCTGCCGCCGGCCCCGCTGCCCGCCGAGCTGCGCCGACGGTGAGTCCCGGACGGGAGACGGGAGTGAGGCCCCCTCAGAGCTCCTCACTTCTCTAACTGCCCTCAGAGTCCTTCACTGCCCTCAGAGCCCTTCACTGCTCCTCACTGGCCGTCACTGTCCCTCACAGCCCCTCATAGCCCCTCACAGCCCCTCACTGCTCTTCACTGCTCCTCACTGTCCCTCACTGTCCCTCACTGTCCCTCACAGCCCCTCATAGCCCCTCACAGCCCCTCACTGTGCCTCACTGTCCCTCACTGTCCCTCACAGCTCCTCATAGCCCCTCACAGCCCCTCACTGTCCCTCACTGTCCCTGAGAGCCCCTCAGAGCCCCTCACTGCCCCTCACTGCTCTTCACTGCTCCTCACAGCCCCTCACTGTCCCTCACTGTCCCTCACAGCCCCTCACTGTCCCTCACAGCCCCTCATAGCCCCTCACAGCCCCTCACTGACCCTCACTGTCCCTGAGAGCCCCTCAGAGCCCCTCACTGCCCCTCACAGCCCCTCACTGCTCCTCAGAGCCCCTCACTTCCCTCACTGTTCCTTACAGCCCCTCACTGCTCCTCAGAGTCCCTCACTGCCCTCACAGCCCCTCACTGCTCCTCAGAGCCCCTCACTTCCCTCACTGTTCCTCACAGCCCCTCACTGCCTTCAGAGTCCCTCACTGCCCTCACAGCCCCTCACAGCCCCTCACTGCCCCTCATTTCTCTCACTGCACCTCAGTATTTCTCTGCCCTCAGATCCCCTCACTTCCCCCACTGTCCTTCAGTCTTTCACCGCCCTCAGAGCTTCTCACTGCCCTCAGAACCCCTCACAGCCCTCAGGGTGGGCCCAGGACGGGCTGAGGGCCACCAGGATGGGCTGAGGGCCACCAGGATGAGCTGAGGGCCACCAGGACGGGCTGAGGGCCACCAGGATGGGCTGAGGGCCACCAGGACGGGCTGAGGGCCACACTGCGGTCCCGATCCGTGCCCGGTGTCCCCTGGCCCCGCTGACCCCCAGCTCTGCCCCCCAGGCTGCAGGATCTGGATCGGGATGAGGAGAACCTGGGAGAGAAGGTGAGTCCTGGGATGTCCCCGGTGTCCCCACTGTGTCCCCTCTGTCCCCTTGGTCTTCTGTGTCCCCTCCACCCTGGTGTCCCCATGGTGTCCCCAGTGTCCCTGTGGTGTCCCCAATGTCCCCAATGTCCCCAGGAGAGCGTCCAGGAGAAGCTGAGCCTCATCCACGGCTTCCTGCCCCTCCTGTCCCTGCTGTCCCCAATGTCCCCGTGGTGTCCCCAGTGTCCCCCCGGTGTCCCCAGTGTCCCCCTGGTGTCCCCAGTGTCCCCCCGGTGTCCCCAATGTCCCCCTGGTGTCCCCAGGAGAGCGTCCAGGAGAAGCTGAGCCTCATCCACGGCTTCCTGCAGGCCGAGGTGCAGCTGCAGCTCAGCGAGCTCGAGGCCAAGCTGCGCCGCGAGGAGCTCTCGGAGGTGGGAGCCACAAAACCCCCAGGATTCGGGGTGAAACCCCAGGAAAACACAGGGGGAACCCCGGGATTTGGGATAAAACACCAGGATTTGGGATAGAGCCCCAGGAAAACCCCGAGATTTGGGATAAAACACTGGGAAAACCCAGGGGGAACCCCAGGATTTGGGATGAAACACCAGGAAAACCCCAGGATTTGGGATGGAACCCCGGGATTTGGGATAAAACACCGGGAAAACCCAGGGGGAACCCCGGGATTTGGGATGAAACACCAGGAAAACCCCAGGATTTGGGATGAAATGCTAGGGAAACCCAGGGAAAACCCTGGGATTTGGGATAAAAAACCCCGGGATTTGGGATAAAAAACCCTGGGATTTGGGATAAAAAACCCTGGGATTTGGGATAAAAAACCCTGGGATTCGGGGTGGAACCCCGGGATTGGGGATGGAACCCCAGGATTTGGGATGGAACCCCGGGATTTGGGATGGAACCCCGGGATTTGGGATGGAACCCCGGGATTCGGGGTGGAACCCCGGGATTCGGGATGGAACCCTGGGATTCGGGGTGGAACCCCAGGATTCGGGATGGAACCCTGGGATTTGGGATGGAACCCTGGGATTCGGGGTGGAACCCCGGGATTTGGGATGGAACCCCGGGATTTGGGATGGAACCCCGGGATTCGGGGTGGAACCCTGGGATTTGGGATGGAACCCCGGGATTTGGGATGGAACCCCGGGATTCGGGGTGGAACCCTGGGATTTGGG